TGAGGCCCGGACCGGGCAGGGGTCCCCGGGCGCGGGGGGGGCCGAGCCCCTGCGCGGGGGTGGGCTGGGGGCTCTCCTGCTGCCACTTAAAACGCCGTTTTCTTGTATCAAGCGCTACACGTAGCACTTCGTTTCTAACCGCCTGAGCTGTTAGAAAAAGCGAAATAACACAGAGGTGTTGGATCAACAGCAGCCTCAGGTCCGGCTCGGTGCGGAGGCCGGGATTACGGAACCGAATCAATGCAAAAAATTGGGATTCTTCTTAAATCCCAGTTAAGGAATTGTTCTCAAGCCTGGCAAATCACAATACCGTTAAACACCTTAGCAGTGACAATTATGCCACTTCAAAAGCCCAAACCGTGGTTTCCGAGGGCGGCCGCGAGGCTGCTTTTCCAGCTGGCTGACACGCGTATTTAAAGCTTTATAATTGCATTACTATCGCTTCTAAGCGGACGGGCTTACAGCCAAGGAGAACGTCTGTGGTTTGACTTAACCGGACAATCGAGAGTGCCCGCAGAGGAAATTAAACTGTTAAAAGTTTTTCTTCCTAGCTCTGGGCCTCGGTCCGTACGTGCCCCATCCTGCTCCGCCGGACCGAGGGCGGTGAGCCGGCTGCGATCCTCCTCCTCTCTCAGGAATTACACCAAAGCCTCGAGTCGCTCAGTCTTTGACGCAGAATCCGGCTCGACGCACGTATTTATGGTATTTAGGAGTGTTTAAGCCTGGGTAACTTAATTCCTTAATGCTTGTAGGACCAGGGGCAGCACAGCTGGATCCGGATGGTGACGCACTGACGACCGCTGCATCCCTCCAGCAGATCCCTGCCTGCAGAGAGAAATGTTTATCAGCAGGAGAGCTGTCAGCAGCGGTTGTGTGGCATCCTTTCTTCGGGGCGACATGTTGTAAAGGCCCCGGAGCATCAGCCAGGTGACTCTTGAGGTAAGGTTTGGGGTTTTCCCTGCTCTCTGTCGTGGTGTACCTCTCCCGAAGCGCGGGGATGCATCAGGTGCGAGGTGTATTTTCTGCCTGCGCTGGTTGATTTTTGATGAAGGGACTTAATCCAGATGTGGCAGGGAGCCTGCCCGGCCTTGCTGGGTGAACGGCCTCGAGTCACCAGTTCGTGGAGAGTTAGAAGAGTGGATAAATCCTAACACAAAGTGGATAAATCCTATCATGAAGTTGACAGCGCCTGCTCTGCCTTCCCCCCGCCACCCCAGAGGATCTTCCCCTTCCTCCAGGCAGGGCAGGAGTGTCCGAGGGTGCAGTCCCTCGGTGCTGAGCTGCAGGAGTGTCCGAGGGTGCAGTCCCTCGGTGCTGAGCCACCACCTCCTTTCTGACACCACCCGTAGCGCTGCCAGGCCCGCACCAGCGATCTCCCCCATTCCAGCGGTGGGTCCCAGCTCCCCACCTGGCCCTGACACCTCTTCAGCTCCGGGCTCGCCCCCTCCCCAGCGTGCCCCAGCCCCCTTTCCTGGCACCCCTGCTCCCCGCCAGCTCTGATTCCCCCAGTCCCCTGCGCTGGGATCCCCAGAGCTGCCCCTAACCCCGGCCCCGCAGCCCACCCAGGCCCCTTCTAGCCCTGGCCTGGTGTCCCCCTGCCCTGTGGCCAGTCCCTCCCAGTCCCTACCCTGGTGTGGCCCCTCTCCCCACGGGCCCCCTGGCCTCGGGGTCATCCCATGGGCTGTGTGGGGCTGGGTGGCCCCATGGGCTGTGTGGGGCTGGGAGGCCCCAGGTTTGGGGTGGCCCCATGGGCTGTGTGGGGCTGGGAGGCCCCAGGTTTGGGGTGGCCCCATGGGCTGTGTGGGGCTGGGAGGCCCCAGGTTTAGGGTGGCCCCATGGGCTGTGTGGGACCCCAGACTTGGTGTTGCCCTATAGGCTGTATGGGGCACTGGGCTCAGCGTGACCCCAAAGGCTCTGTGGGGCTGCACAGCCCTGGGCTCAGAGCAGTTTTCTAGGCTGCATGGGGCCAAGGGGCACTGGGCTTGGGGTGACCCTATGGTCTTTATGGGGCTGCAAGGCCCTGGACTCGGGGTGGCCCCTGCAGACCGCATGGGGCTGCAGGGCTTGTGATGGCCCCAAAGGCTGTGGGGGGCCGTGGAGCCCCCGACTCAGGGCAGCCCCTCGGCGAGGCCAGCTGGCGCAGGCTGGTCCTGTGCTCCTGCCACGCGATGCTGGGGACTCTTCTAGCACCCTTTGCATGGTTTGATACCCAGAAGTGCCAGCTGGGTGCTCCCCTGAGCAGCGGGAGAGTCACCTTGTTTTTCCTGTTCTGCCAGGACGTGCGGGCAGGGCGGTGCCCGAGCTGGGGCGCAAGGCAGAGCACCCCGCGAGGCCCAGACCCCCGTGTTTGGCTGTGCACGGCGCTGCCCAGCGCTCGCGAGCCCGTGAGTTTGCAGGGTACCCTTATCGGGGGGGTTGCAATGGGCTGTGTCACCGCCTGGGAGCACAACTGGGTTTGTTTCGGTGCTGCTGATGAGTGTTTTTGGGAAGAGGGCAAGTCAGATCATCTTTTATGAGGCTGGTAAAGCCACTGATTGTGGGTTGAGCCAGGGTCAAGGGGCCGAGTCACCTATTGCAACCCCATTTGGGAGGGTGTGAGTGGAGCAGTCTGGCTGGAAGAGCTGAACTGGATTAGAGATTATTGTTTGGTTCTTTGATAATCCCTAATCTCTTAATGCTTCTTTGGGTGGTAACGCTTGCATCAGAAGCAGGTGTGGACCCACCTTGGAGGTGGGCGTTGAGTTTCCCCCTTCTACGTGGGAGAGAGCAAGGTGGGGAGACGTCGCTGGGCTCGGTACGAACACAAGGTGGCAGCTGGGCTCGTCGTTTCTCCTCGCTGCCGAGCCCATCGCCCCGTGAGCAGAGCAGCCAGCAGCTGTGGGGCAGTTCCTCAGAGCTAGCCCAGACCGAGAGCCACGATCAGCCCTCCTGCCTGTCCTCTAAACGCAGCTGAAGCAGCTCAGAGGGGAATGAAGGTCTGCTAATCCCTACATCAGCCCCGGTTTAGAAAAAGAGTAGTTTTGTGCAGTTCTCACCACCCAGCTCTGCTACGGAGAGAGGAGGGCTTCTCCTGACACTTAGAAGCACCGTGAGGTCTCCTGGGGCTAGGAAAGATGGATAAAAACTATGGCAAACCGATGAATTGAGATATTATGCTCTTGTATCGGCGTTGGTTGGGCTGTGCTTTGCTTTCCCTTGTTTCACCTTGAAGCCTGAACAGTCTTGGTGAGGAAACATGCTGTGTCTTTCAGAGGTCTCCTACTGAAATCCAGAAAGGCTTTTCACTGCCAGAGTGAGTGTTGTATCAGGTCTCTGATGAGATGAGGGCTCCTGCGGAGCTGTCCTCCCCGCGGCCCGTTGCGTATGAATGGAGGCAGAGCTCCCTGAATCATCTTCTCGCTGTTGACTTCTGGAGGGTTTGCTGATGGCCACATCTGTGGGGTTATAAAATGTTTTTGCAGTAAATGGAGCTCTGGCAGCTCTGTCTGTTTTGGTTCCTTCCTTCTGGTGAGCACTATTGGGATGTAATTTAATTTAGGGATTTAATTTAAGGATTTGAGTGACTCATTTGGGGAAGAAGCTGTTCTCTGTGGAGCAAGGTGGTGACACAGCTGCCGAATGGTGGGACCTGGCTGAGGAGACTGAGGAGAGCAGTTTGGTCCTGTTTCTGCTTTTGTCTTTCATGAAAACTTATCAAAAAGCAGAAGAGATTTGCAGTAAAAAGAGCTGAGGGCTGTTTGGAGCTCCGTTTCTAGTTGTTAATTGACCTTGTTCTGTAATAGGGATTGTCTATCCCCAAAGCCAACCGTTCCCTTCCTCTTCTAGCAGATCTGAGGAGAACAGCCAGGATGCCACATCGCACCATTCATCTTTTCCGGAAGGGACTTCGGCTTCATGACAACCCAACGCTGCTGGCTGCGCTGGAGTCCTCGGAGGTTGTCTACCCCGTCTACATCTTGGACAGAAAGTTCCTGACGTCCGTGATGCACATAGGGGCCCTGCGGTGGCATTTTCTGCTGCAGTCCCTGGAGGATCTCCAAAAAAACTTGAGCCAGCTGGGCTCTTGCTTGCTGGTTATTCAAGGAGAGTACGAGGCTCTTCTTAGAGATCACATCCAGAAGTGGAATATCACGCAAGTGACTCTGGATGCGGAGATGGAACCGTTTTACAAGGAAATGGAGGCCAACATACGACGTCTGGGAGAAGAGCTGGGGTTTGAGGTGCTTTCCCTGGTGGGCCACAGTCTGTACGATACCAAACGGTACGTGATTGCCCCGAAGAGCACTGAGGTGTCTCCGGGAAGGTTTATTTTAGATTTAGCAAGCATCAGGGAGAAAAGGCCAAGTATCTTGGTCTTTCTGGATCCTAATGTGTTCCTTTATGAGAAAATTGGGCTATCTGAGATGAATGTGGCATTGTTTGCTGGAGAATTTTTGTGTGTTGGTCTCCTGGAAGTAAGAGAAGAGATTTTGCACAGGTGTTAGGATGTCGGCCTGTGATTCGAGCCTGAAGAGTTTGTTATTTTTTTTCCCTTTCGGCCGTTTAATTCACGTCAAAACTCACATTAGCTACTCTCTTAAACAGAGTAGAAGAAATTCTTTAACACATTTAATAGGACTTTTATATAAAATGTTTGTGTCAGATTTTTAACCAGCTTTCATTGGTTAAAAATACATTTGGATCCAAGCTGTTACGCAGAGCTGAATGACTGAAGATGTTGAAAATAATAGGGAGGTGATCGGTAATAGCTACACCAGACTTAACACTCCACTTCTGGAAAGCCGCTCATTTATGTAAATGGGTGGATGTATGTGACTTGCCGTCTTGAATTCAAGCTGTCTGTTTGCGTGGGTCCTTGCTCACATAGAAGAGTTATTTACTGCCCTGAAGCTGGTTGGTTTTTGTGATCAGACTGCCTCTGGCAGCCCCAGAGGTGTCCTGCACCTCGCGCTCTGCCATCCTGGCTGTGTCTGGCTCTACAGAGCTGCCCAGTTGAAGCTGTGGCTGGCATCCCGGTCGCAGGTTTGTTGTCTCAAGTCCTGAGAAACTGCTCTCAGGATGGATGGATGTTCACCCAGGGAAGTTTTACTTGTAAAATCTGCGATTTCCACGTTCAGTTGCATGAACTGGGGCTGTTCCAGCCTGTGCTGTCACCTTCCTATCCACTGGCAGCTCCAGCTTCCTTCTTGGTTTATATTATGGTGAAAAGTGATCTTGTTTTACTTAGGATTTTGGAGCTGAACAGTGGGACTCCCCCATTAACATACAAGAGGTTCCTTCACATTCTGTCTCTGCTCGGTGACCCTGAGGTGCCTGTCCGAAACCTTACAGCTGAAGACTTCCAGTAAGTAACGCCTAGACAGCAGGAAATTGCAGGTCCTTTTTCGCTGCCCAAAAGAAGAGCCAGGGCCACGGGGCGTTTTAGACGTTACGTTGCGTTGCTTCTATGCGTGGAGGGTTATCGATTGTATGTACAGGGGATGAGATTCTGCTGTTGGGAGGGGAGAGCAGGTGAGAGGACACGCAGTCCAAAGACTTAAGCTTTTGCGAGGCATGTTGAGACAGACTTTTAAGGTATGTAAAAGTGTAATACAGGAATGGCTAAAGAATTACAGGTCGATCTCTCAAAGGCATGCTCTAGCTTCCTCACAAATCAAGACTCAAGGCAGGAACTGGATGAACCACTGTAGTTTGTTTTATGTGGGAAGTTTGGTGGAATAATCATACTCTTCCCTTCTGGCTTTAAATCTTTCTCTTCTCCCCTCTGTTGTATGGGAAGGAGGGACCGAGCTCGTGTCTCCCAGGACTTGAGAAGCAGCTCAGAGTCAAGGATGTCTTATGTTTAGCTGTGCATGAGGAGAGGTCAGTGATCCAAAGGGAGGCAGGACTGGGGTAGGAGAGAGCTGGCCACGGGATGGGACTGCGGATACCTGGGACTTGTGTCAGGCGCCTCCTGCGTGACCTCAGCTCTGCGTCGGTAAGCTAGGCTTAGGTCTTCCCACCTTGGGGGAATCCTGTTAATTCCTGAATGTTGTCCTCGGACAGTCCGATGATAAGACCTATGTAAGTACTGGGATATGTATCAGTTCATCTATTTTTTCTTGCACTGTGTTTTTTTTTCCCCTTTTTTCCCTAATTTGTTTATTTGCACTTTTTGAATTGATGATGTGAGATAAGTGGTTCACATGCTTCCCAGCAGGCCTGTGTTATGTCAGTGCTCTTGAGAGCTGCACTGGCCCCTTCTTCTGTAGGTGTCTGCAGCAGAGCTGAGCTCAGTTTCTTCCAGGTAAGTAGAAAGATCTGTGTTGATATCTGAGTTCATTCATGGTTTTTGAGAAGCCTGCATAGCACTGACACTTCCTCGAACCTCCTCCTCTGTGTTTTACAGAGGGAAAAAGCCCATACCCTGATGTTCTTCCAGCCTCACAGGGGGCAGAGGCCTTGGGGAAGCCTCAGCAGCCGAGGCTGCAGAAGAGATGTGGGGGGAGCGCTCCGAGGTGTGGGCCTGGGGAGCCCCACCTTGGTGAGGAAGGAGCAGCTGGGGAGGCAGCCCAGGGAGCTGATCTGCCTCCGTCCCTAGGAAACCTCTCCCAGGGCGACCTCTCCTCAGAGGCATGGGAGCTGGAGCGGCCTTTGGAGGCAGCGCCGGTGCCCCATAATGATGTTTAGAGTTGGAGGAGGCTCTTACCTCCCTCGCAGGGATGGATGAGACAGCTGGGGGACGCTGGAGAGGAGGTGTCTGAGCTGCGGGGGCTGCAGCCGACTGCTCCGAATGCTGTAATTTGGTGACTCTGTTCCGCTTCCCCCAGTTCAGGCTGGAATTTCCTGGAGCGATTGCAGGATGAGCTCGCTCTTCCCCAAGGAGAGTGCAGCCTGGGGTTTCTGGCTGTGCTTTCCTTCCCCTGTGCTCTGGCCGTGCCCTGACGGAGGAGATCGTGGTGTGTGCAATGGGCAGAGGTCTTCCTCCTTTCTTTCACGTTAGGAGATGTAGGCCCCCTGACCCGGGCCTGGCTGAGTGTTACAGGGTGCCTCTCCCTGTGGATTTGAAGATCCCCCTGGAGAGCATTTCCCCCTGGAGAGGAGGAGAGACTGAAGGGCTACAGCGCCTGGAGCAACACTTGACTGACCAGGTCAGCCTTGATTTCACACGGGTGATGATGGTGGCTCTAGATAGGCTGAGGTTAGTGTCCACCTTGCACCTTTTACGTGTGGTTGTGTGTCTGGACCTCAAGAAACCGCTCAGCCGTTCCAGCTCTAGCTGAGTTTTTCCCCGCTGGGGCTCAGCTCTTGGCAGCCAAGCCTGCCTTGGTGCTGGCTGCTTTTAAGCAGATGCTTTACCCTCTCCCAATTTCATAAAGTGGAAAAGATCTTTAGTGCGGTACTGTTGGACCGAGAGAGCTGTTCCCCGTGTTACAAAATCGCCCGGCTCTCTGGGGAGAGCGGAGTTTCACAGCACCCACGGGTGAGACGTGGCCTTGACGTTGGGCTTGGAGGAGCTCTGTGTATTTGGAGATCTTGGAGGAGGATGGCAGCCTGGTCTCAGGACGTTGTTGTCCTTGATGGTGGCATTTGTGGGAGGATGGGTGGTAGGAGCATTTTCCAGGCATGACATTGAGCAGGCCTCTGTGATGCAGAAGCCAATCGCCAAGAGTTTTTTCCCCGTTTCATTAGCTGGACATGTGTCACCTTGTACTGCCTGAACCTGGATTTCTGTTCTCATTTCAGGGCTGGGTGGCAAGTTTCACTAAACCGAGAACAATCCCAAATTCGCTGCTTCCAAGCACCACAGGCCTGAGCCCGTATTTCAGTATGGGCTGTCTGTCAGTTCGCACTTTTTTTTACAGGTTGTCAAACATTTATGCGCAGGTAAGAAAATAATTGGTCGTAGTTAAGCAAGTCCAGCACTCTCATGTGTCTAGGCTAGGATTTAACACTTGGATCATCTTGGTAGAGACCCGATACCTCAAAAAATGCTGCTTTGCTAATATCTTCTCACAGCATCCTATGAAATCTGGAGTAGCTTTATATGTTCTGTGAAACACCTGTGAATGTATGCAGCTTTTCCCAATTAAGTTTTAGAAATATGATAAATGAGACCTGGAAGCAGCAGGGAAGCCCAGGAAAACCCTCCTAAAATTCAAGGAGTTCAAGATGTCTGCCTGGTGTTTAAGTGAAGTTTTTGATCAGTTTAGCTTGTTGAAGCAGTTTTGTTTTTAGAAAGCGTCTGTTTTCATCTTAGACAAGTTTTAACTATAGCATAAGCCAAAACCAACTTCTGAAAACTTGTTTGATTCTTAAGAAAAAGTGTGGTTGAAACCAACCCAAGAAAACCAACGTCTCCCTGAACCGCCTTCTGAAGTGTATCTCTTGAGACATGGCTGAGCCACCGGAATTCAGCTAGCTGAGAAGTTAATATGTTAATAAATGCATGTTTGGTTTAAGAAATCCCAGTGTGACACCATTTTGGAAGGTAGATGGAGAATGTTTGAGGTAACACTGAGGTCTAACAGGGTTCAACTTTGCTTTTGGGCATATAGCATCACTTCAGGTCTTTGATTTCTTTGGCTTTCATGATAAAGTGCCACGAAGCCAGTAGTGTAGTTAGATTAATCTTTATTTTATGGGCCTGACAGTCACAAAATGAGTGAGACTGCAATGGTATATATATGAACTGAAGCGTTCACCTCACGTGTCTTTTGCAGGCCAAGCATCACTCTCTGCCCCCCGTGTCACTCCAAGGGCAGCTTCTGTGGAGGGAATTCTTCTATACGGTGGCATCAGCAACACCAAACTTCACCAAAATGGCTGGGAACCCCATCTGCCTTCAGATCAGTTGGTATGAGGATGCAGAGAGGCTCCACAAATGGAAAACGGTAACAAGAGGCATCGACAAAACTACGTTTCAGTTTAGAGTTTTTCTATTGCTCTGGGCTTGTTGCCTGCTGGCTGTTTGAGGTGGGGCTTACAGCAGTGTGTAGGAAAGCAGTGTAATGAAGCTTTGTGCAGGAGGGCTGATGTTTCTTTTCTGCTGCAGGCACAGACGGGGTTCCCGTGGATCGACGCGATTATGACCCAGCTGCGCCAGGAAGGCTGGATCCATCACCTTGCTCGGCACGCTGTCGCCTGCTTCCTGACGCGGGGGGACCTTTGGATCAGCTGGGAAGAGGGCATGAAGGTTCATTTCTGGTTTTTGGTTTTCTCTGTTCTGGCTGATCTTGAGAAACCCCTGCAAAACATGAGCCTGGCAGTGGGAGGTGGTACTGTAGAGCAGTGCTTCCTTACTGACCCTCACTAGAAATCTTGTGGTTTATGAAATCTCATGGTCTCTCGCTCGAGTCCGAGCCCTGCTGCGCTGGGTGCAGCGGCGAGAGGTCGTTCCCATCCCCAAGGCCTGATGATTTTGGATGATGAGGATATTGGAGACCTGCTCAGTCTGCAGCAGGCCTCAAAGCCAGGCCGTTGGGCTTTGGGTTGCTCTGTCACTGGGTCCAGCTTCTTTCTGGCAAACTGTCTTGCCGGAGAGCCTTCCCTGTGTGCCCTGGGAGAAGGGTTGCCCAGACCAGCCCAGTGCCAAGCTTCACCCTCCATCTCCCAGCCTGTTTGTTTGGGTTTTTTTTGCCACGAAGGCAGCCATCTCAAGGGTGTTTCTCTCTTTCTCTTCCCGTCCCTGAAGTGCAGGTGTTTGAAGAGCTGCTTTTAGATGCTGACTACAGCATCAACGCAGGGAACTGGATGTGGCTGTCAGCCAGCGCGTTCTTCCACCAGTACACGCGGATCTTCTGCCCTGTCCGCTTTGGGAAGCGAACAGACCCCGAGGGGCAGTACATTCGGTAGGGCGATGCACAGCATGGCACCGTCTGCTCCGTTACTGCTTCCCTGGCTCCTCTTACAGCAGGAGCTGATGAACTCAGTCTGTTTGAAACATGTACCCCTGTGAAACTGGAGTCATAGCAATGATTTTATTTAACATACAAGGAAATTGAGGCACGGAGAAGCAGAGACGTACCCATGGTTGCACAGGTGATGACCAAGCAGGGCGTCATGTTGATTTGTGAGCACCCGTCGGCTCCAGCGCCGTGTTTGATCATCAGGCTGATTCCTCTTTCTAAAGGACTTGAGCAAAACTTCCCACAGCTCCCCCTGCTCCAGTCTGTGCTGTGTTTCTTGGTTTTGTAGGCGGCCTGATTCATTTCAGACACTTAAATTTTATTTCCCACTCTGAGTGAGTCCTCTTTGCTTTAAACTCTCAGTTTCTGTATCTCTAGGTAAGGTACTGATAGGCTTTCTCATAAGCAGTGGGTGATTTTACAGCTGGCTGCAACAGGAGCAGGCTGTGTTGATGTGAGCAAACAACTCATCTTCCTCACATCTCCTCTTCCTCACATCCTCTCTGGCTTTGTGTCTTGTCAAGGGGAAGCCCATGCTGACATACCTGACAGAGTGGGGCAGAAAATCACTTTTCTGTTCTGTAAGAATTTTTTTAGATTTTTTAAAAAATTTGTTTGGTTTTGAAATTTATTAAGGTTTAGCACGAGATGTCTGTGAAAATGTTAAAAACCCAAATATTTTGGATGAAGTAAAAACTGAAGTAATGTTTAAATTAACCCATTTATTCTTTGCTGTAAAGTTAACTTTTGGAAGATACCACCCTACAGAGGGTTTCACAACATAAAACCAGTTCTTTTGTGCAAAATGAATCAGAACTTCCCCATGGATTTAGTATCAATGCGATCACCAAGAATTAATATGGCATAGGTTGGTTTACACTTCTCTTAAACATATGAGTATTTGTCTGCAGGATTATAAAACCCCATATTTCTCCTGTTTTGTAGGAAATACTTGCCTATACTAAAGAACTTTTCCTCCAAGTACATCTACGAGCCCTGGACAGCATCTGAAGAGGAGCAGAAGCAAGCGGGGTGTATCATAGGTAATTCATTCAGATGCCTTGCTAAGGATTTTGCTGCTGCTAACTGTCCAAAATAATTACATGCGTGAGATGGAAGTGTCACACTTCCAACACAAGTCCTGCATTTATCTTCTGGAAATGGATTAATCCAGCAGTCTTCCTTCTGTCAATTCTCCTGTAAAGTTTTTTGCTGGAGTCTAATTTCAGAGTACATATTCTTGCCTCAACTTCGTGTCCTAAAACTGTTGGATCACTCTAAGTTGTTGCCTTTGCATTTATCTGTCTGAGATGCTTGGCTGTCTTTAAATAGTATCCGAACATCTTGTGCTTTTACGCTTGCTCTAATGCATCTTTGAAGTCTCTTATAAGCTTACGTCTAAACGGGAGCTCTTACTCTTTGATGCAGAGAAACAGGCACTTCTGAAGAGTGGGTCACATGGTCTATCTTAGATGCCATTTATTTTAAGAAAAGCTGCAAGCATTTGCCCTGCTGCAAAGCCCGTGAAACGTCCTTGATTAGTTCTGTAAAGGCTGCTGTCTCCATGTCGCACCAGGTCAAGATTACCCCTTCCCAATGGTGAACCACAAGGAAGCCAGCGATCACAACCTGCAGCTGATGAAACAGGTCAGAGAGGAACAGCACAGAACAGCCCAGCTCACGAGAGGTAAGAGGTGGTGAGGCACGGGATGCTCAGAGGCTGTTATAGAATCACAGAATCGTTAAGGTTGGAAAAGACCCTTAAGATCATCGAGACCAACCGTTAACCCAGCACTGCCAAGCCCACCACTAAACCATGTCCCCGAGCACCACATTTCCCCGGCTTTTAAATACCCCCAGGGATGGGGACTCAGCCCCTGCCCTGGGCAGCCTGGGCCAGGGCC